GCAAGGGGGATGATCGCACCACGTTGTGTTAAATTGGTCAAGCACCCTCGAGGCAGTTACATAGTGCTAACAACTGTCTCTAGATGTGAAGTACCAGAAATATAAATTAAGTCATACGCAGCTGTCATCCGTACGCAAGGAAGTAAGCACAAGATGCCGAACACCCTTAGCAGGATGCAGCGCACCCTTCATGCGACTCGCCGAATGTCTCACGGTCCTTCGCGCTTGGTGATGTGAGAGCCTGGTCCGGTGAGAACCCGGCGTGCTCCGTCCCGGCTTTGTAGGGATGCGAGGTCAATGGTCTAACGAACCCGGCATGCACAACAATGACTACACCCCCCCCCGGTCTCTCTTTCTGACCCTGGGTATGTTTTGTTTCATTGGCCGCCCAAACCCTTGCCTTGCCTGCAGGTGATACTCACAGAGGAGTTTGACGCGGGGCTGATGACGTTGCGACGGCTGATGGGTTGGGACATGATCGACATGACCTACTCTGTGATGATGGAAACGAAGAAAGGCGTAGTTAGATGGGACAATAAGCCGTTGGTTGATGTGCCAAGGTTCGTCTCTCTGCCGCAGTGGGTGAGTCGAACGAGCTAGTCCTGGCCATTGAAGGTGTGGGATATCTGGCAAGCCTTTGTTTGCATGCGTCGTAGACGTATTTGATGAAGTGCGTGTTTGTCCCGGCTCGAGTCTCTGTCGCAGTGAGTGGCTCCAGGCAAAGGCATGACACGTTATGTAGTTGTGCACCTGCTGACCACAGTTCGACTCCCTAGAGCAGCATGTGGGTCGGTGGTTCCGAATAGGCAGGCCCCGACGTACGGCTCCTCTACAGACGTACTGATATGTTGCCTCTACTTATGTTGAATAATCTCCGTCGTGCTGTCGTCAGCTCTATATCCTCCTACGGTCTCTATATCCTTCGACTGTGGACCGCGCACAGCCGATGAACCCGAACACGTGTTGGCCACAGCACACCGGACGATGCAGCATCTTCGTCCCTCCGATGGAATCAAACTGATGCTGCGTGTTTGGGGGATGGTGATATTCCACTGCAGTGGATGAGGGGCCTTACCGGCAACGTTTTGCTTGCCTTTGTCGTGGCGTCATCAACTAAGCATCGTTTCAATATGGATTATCGCCGTTTCAAGCTCGATAGCTCTAGCCAACATGCTTTTGCTAGGACGCTGGAAGGTTGAGTTGAGGTAAACACATGGACAGTCCGAAGGACTGCTCACCACGCCGCTCAGTTCTAGGCCCGATGGTTTGTTTGATTGCTGGGCGTGTGCAACCGCCCGATTTCTCCCACGTTTCCTCCCACGTACTACTGTGACTGTAGGTTGCTTTTCCGTGACCATGGTGTAGTCTAGCGAATTCGCCCCGGAATGCTGATAAAACGCGTCTTCAAAGTGGCTTTGTGACCCCTTTGGTTCGCGCTTAGTGATGCGCCGACCCGGGCGATGAAAAGCTGATGGGCGTCTTTGGTCCCGTTTATTGCAGTTATGACAAGGCGTGCACACACCTCGCCCCCTTGTCCGGAGCAGGTGCAAGACACGATCGATGCGACCACAGCTTTGGACCGGAAGTTGTACGAAGCCGCGGTGCTGGCGTATCGACAGGTAGGGCGAGCGGGCTGTGTGTGTGTGTGTGTGTGTGTGCGTGTGCGCACGTGTGTCTCCAGTTGTTGTTGTCATCGACGGGGCGGTACGTTAGTAACCCCGACCTCAGACTTGCTTGGTTAGCTTTTTACGCTCGTTTGTGCGTGTGGCTTGTTTTCCGTTCTCTTTCGACTCACCATCATATTTTCGGCTGTCGGAATTCCTCGGCCTCCTTTTTTGGATCAGCATTCACATGTTGTATTACTGTAGGTAAAGGATGCGGCACAGTGTTCAAGGTCAATGACATACATAGTCATGCTGCAACAGCACCGCCAGCAGCAACAAGAAATTACACTGATGTTTCGATTCTGGACTACCCCACTAGCCCTTGCCCAAGGAACTAAGGCCGTTCAGAAACCACCAGACACCGCACTGATCACCAACGGCATTTCGTGGTCACTCCATTTTTCCATGGCACCTCACGGTGGTGAGGTACTGGTTGCCAGTAGTGTTGGATGAAAGTGGTTAGGGGACGAGACAGTGGGGTGTTGGATGAAAGTGGTCAGGGGAGGAGACAGTGGCGTTACGAGAGTGGTGGTCCAGCAGTGAAAGGGACAAGTAGATTGCTACCGAAATGGTTCACGGCTGTGCTGATGCGCTCCAACGTGGCCTCCGCGCTGCCCAGGAGTCGTCAGCGATGATTGTTCCGATGAGAGGATTGGCAACAACGACTATGATGGAGGATTGATGTCAGTGATGGCGACCGGGTGTCGCTCCTGACGTGAACCGATGCGATTACAAATGTGAACGGGTACGTGTCTTGATTGATTATTTCTCGTGGGTTTGACGAGAAGAAGGCCGTTGAGGTAGGGGACGCGGAACAAGACCTCGTGGAATTCAAGGAGCTGCAGCGGATCGTCACGGCCTACCTCGAGGCAAACTTCTCCAGCGAGGCCCGAAGATGGTGCGCTCTTGTGTTTCTAGGCGGCCGTTTTGAGGCTACTGCTGCTGCTGCTGCTTGATTGTTGCTGCTGTGGTTTTAGCGCCGAATGCGACGAAGAATGACTCCCTTGTTTTCTATGGCACTGTGACTGTGGTTGGAGATTAAGGTAATGGTGTCGTCTCCATTTGAAGAATCTGGAGCGGGTGACCGGCACCTTTTCTCATGTTTTCCTCTGCTTTTCCGTTTTTTCCAGTAGAACCCAGATGAAAGCGAGACATGTAGACCGGCATTGGTATCCATTTTGCGCTTCATTCATGTAGGGTTGCTTCTTGATGACACTTGGCAAGCCCCTAGCCGTACCTCCACGTTCTCGATGGGCTCATGGTGACGCAAGTCCAAGTGATCGTAGGCGCGCAATTGTTCACCAGAAGCTCGGTCGAGAGGGGTTCGGCAACCTCCCAGAGGAAGACATTGTGGGGAGGGGGGCGTACTCATATTTTGCATGCCTTAGGTGTAGACCATTGACCACGCGTGGGGGGGCACTTGATCGGTTCTCCCAGCAGCAACGCTCTTTCTCTCTCTATTGCCGATGATGTCCGCCACGGATCCCGCACCCACCCCTCCCTTCGCTCGCACCCTGTCCTCCTAATAGGTACGCCCCCAACGCCGAACCGTACAACGGCGGGCCGCCACCATACGCGTTTTAACGGTCTAGTTTTGGAGTCCCGCTGCTTCGGTGTGCATCCTTGGGCGAGCTGCGCAACGTTGAACGGGTTCAGTGTTTACTCGGAGGCCTCCACGGCGGTTCCGCGTGCACCCGAATATTTGAGAAGTTCGAAGGCACCGACTGTTCGGTAGTTTGTGGTAGTTTATGGCCTCTCTCGCATGATACTGTATGTAGAAGTTTATTCGTACGTGACAGTGAGGAATGACGGGTATGCAGTCGAGTAGCAGTCAACCGCCGTGCCTGCCGTATCGGCGAGAGAAAACTCGATGGCATCCATTCGTGTAAATTTTTGTCCCGAGAGAGGGACGGGAGCGTGTGATTGAGGCCGCAATGAAGCCCTGCTGTGTGTTTGTTTTGATTTGTGAATCTCGTTTTGCGGCATGCCCTGAATACCGGTCTCAAATATCGCGGCAGGGAGCTGTGCACCACGGGTAGCAGTTGTACAATCGCTGAACAGGGCCATGTACACAACACCGTTATTGAGCTGGCATGTATCAGTGAGCATCAGGTTGTCGGTTCAGTGCTTGCAGAAAGTGTCCGGAGACCCTGCCCACATACCCGGAGCTATCGCCTCGTGTTGGTAGTTTTTTTTTTGAGGGCGGCCCATTGGACTGCTTCTTGTTTTGCATTGAAGCCTGTTTAGAGGGGTCTTCGATACAACATTTGTTGTTTGTTGTTGTTGTTGTTGTTGTTGCTATGGTTGATATTGTCTTCACATTAAACTCGTATGTCAGTTGCCAATCCCTAAGTCTAGCAATGACTCGGTCCGTGGTCACAAAATGCTAGAGCCATCAGAAGATGTAAAGAACACGCAAACGCCTCGCCAGAAAAGTGTACGCAAGCCCGAAGACTTTTTGTATGCGCCCAAAAAAGAAAGACCAGTTGACACGGGGG